ACGAGTTAGGAAGCAGTTGCAGTGGCCCAGGTAGGAATGGCTGGTCAAGGCTGTGTTGGTGGAGAGGGAGAGTCAGGTTGAGTAGTTGTCTTAGTTATTCTTCTCTCCTTACTGGGACAAATACCTGACACTCAAAATGAAGGAAGGAAAGGTTTATTTAGCTCACAGTTACTAGAGGTTTCTGAGCATATTCATCTGGGTCCAACACAGAGCAGCACATGGCAGAAAGCAACCTTTCATGGTGGCAGCAAAGAGCAAGACCACAAGGGAGGGGTACCAGCAGCTCCAGCAGCTAGCTTCTCTTCCCTCCTTACATTGTAATGCAAATTACCTGCCCCAGGGTGGGTGCAGCATCCACACCCACAGTAATCAATCACAAACTCCAGAGGCTGCCCCAAGACTGCATGAGGCTTTGGGGGGACACCTAGACACAAACCATAACAGTAGTCATGAGGAAATAGACAGGAAGTGGGGTTGGACTGTATAGAGGGATGAGGATTCAGTGGAGTCAAAAAGCTTCTAGCCCCAGCTAGATGTGCCCGTCTGGGCTAGTGTTTCTGGAGAGGGATAAGCAGGTCTTTCGGTTCGTGAGGCTTGCAAACCCCCATCTCGCTTTCCCCTCCATTCTGCAAATACTCAAACTGTTCCCTTATGTAACACCTTTTATCCCAGACTTCCTGTGCTTTGTGCATTCAGCAATTAATTAAGCTTTAGTATGCATTAATTAGAATCCTCTCCCAGGTTCAGAGATGCTGTATATATGTCCATCTATGTCTGCTTTATTCCCAGAGCTCGGTCTCTTTGCTGGGGGTAGGGGGCACCTTTGCCTTCCAGTGGGCACACAATGCAGATGCCTGTCTGTTGCGCCCACTTTAATTTCATGTTTAGGGGCCCAGGTCTAAGGAAGTTAATGACTTGTAAATTGCTCTCTGATGTAGAGCTTGAAATAGAATACCCTGAGTACTTCTTCACACAAAGACACAGTGATGGAGATGTCAGCCCCAAACTGGGGACCTGAGCTAGGGGTTTCTTGCCTCTCCTTCCTTGTCTGCCTGGGCAGCCACTCTGTGGGGCCAGGCCATCTCTAACAAGGACACTGTTATGGCTTGTGTCTAGGTGGCCCCCACAGCCTTATGTGGTCATGCATGGGACTTTTTCGAGAGGCAGCTGAATCTAGATGTGTGATTGGTTCGTGGTGCAGTACTAGGATTAAGGGTGCTAGGGTTAAGGTGGGAGATCACTAAGGCAGTCCACGGATTGGCTTGGCATTGCCCTCATCCTGGTAACCTGGATACAAGGGACAGAAAGTCCTTGTTAACATCCCTGGTGCTTTTTTCTACCTTTTGGGCTCCATAAACAGTTCTCCACAATGTCCCTCTGCCAAGCCACCCTACTTTGGAGTCAGTCGATTACAGACCAACACCCTCACAAACTGTGAGATAAATAAACCTTTCCTCCTTTAACTTTGGGTGTTGGGTATTTTGTCTTAGCAACAGGAGAAAAGTAACTAAGACATGTACCAACCTCCAAATGAAGTCACATGTTGACCTGAGACAGCATTGTCTACTTTGTCCTACTGAATGACCCTTGTCACCTTTTCTTCCTGTCCCCCATGCAGGAAATTTTCTGATGTGACGGCTGAGACATGAGATCTTCAGCCTGCAGGCTCTCCAGTTTTTCATCAAGAGATTCGCTATGGAATCGGTGAGTGGTCCCCAGTCCTTCCCACCTAGAAAACCCAACCTGAGACATGTAGGCAGATTGGGGTGGGGATGAGATGCAAAATTTGATGAAACACAGACGTGGAAGCCTGACAGAATCGTCAGTGCTGTGAAGGTTACAGCAATGAGTTCGCAGGCATTTGTAAAGCCAAAGGGCTCTCAGCAAGTAGCAGGTGAATTATCCTTTGCCATTATTTGGAGGGAAAGTTGAGGTTGCAGTGGTACCAGCAAGTAGTCAGGAACAGCAACATCACCACCAACATTAGTTGGTGCTATTTTGTTTTGTTTTCTTAATTTATTTTTAATTTCTTTTACATTGATTGTGGCCAACTGGTACACCTGTCTATATAACACATCTTAGTTCTTTTTTTATTCCCCTTTTATCTACCTCTCTTGTTAAGTTTTTTATTTTTGCCCAGCATCAGAATCATTTTCAGGGTGGGTGAGGTAGCTCAGTGGAATAAGTGCTTGGCTGGCATTTGCAAGGTCCAGAGTTCGATATCTGGTACTGCAAAAAAAAAAAAAAAAAAAAAGAGTCCAGGTGTGGTGGCACATGGGTAATCCCAGCACTAGGGAGGCTAAAACAGGAGGATTAACTATGAGTTCGAGCTGTGTAGTGAGGCCCTGCACAAAACACACAAACAACAACAAAAAGAATCATTTTCAATTTTATAAATTCTTATCAAGTTAATAAACATAGCTTAGCAGCCAGACTAACAGACCAAAAGACATATAAAATGCAAACAAGAGTTATACTACAGCAGGGTACACTTTTAGACATGCTGGACATGCTTGGATTATAAGTAACTTTTTTCTTTCTCTTTTTTCCCTATTGTCTTTTATTTTGCACTTTATTTATATATTGGTTTTCTTATTTAGGAGAAACCACGTGATATTTACACTTGTGTATCTGATTTTCTTCATTTAATGTTATAATCTTAAAGGTCACTTTTTTTTTAACAGATGACTCGTTTGTCTTTTATGACAGAGTAGTACTTCATTGTGTATAAATATCGTATTTTCTTTATCCATTCATCAGTTGATGAATATGCAAACTGCTTCCAAGATTTAGCTATTATGAATTGTGCTGCTATAAACACATGCATGTATTACTGTAGAAGATACCTAGAAGGGGCATAGCTCAGTTGCATGGAATATTTAGTTTCTTAAAGAATCTCCATACTGATTGTCTCCCTAGTTTTTCTCTCATTGAGTTATTCATATAGAGGAACTCTTGATTTTTTGAGTGTAGACTTTGTATTCTGGTATGATACTGAATTTGGCTATTAACTTAAGAAGTCTTTTGGTGGAATTTTTGGGATTTTTCTCTGTAAAAGATCATGCCATCTGCAAATGATGATAATGTAACTCCATCCTTTCCATATTCCTTCTAATTCTTTCTCTTGTCTGCTCTGGTTAATGTTTCAGAACCGCATTGAACAGGAGTCGTGATAGTGGATATCTTTGCCTTATGCCTGACTTTAGAGGGAAAGCTGTTAGCTTTTCTCCACTTAATATCATGTTGGCTATTGGTTTATAATAGATGGCTTTTTGCAGATTGAGTTGAAAAATGTCTGTACTTATTGTCCTCAGGGTTTCTGCTGGGTTTTGTTAAATGCTTTGTTTATATCTGTTGAGATGGTCATGTGATTTTTACCCTCACTTCTGTTTATGTAGTGCATTACATTTGTATGTTGAATAATTCCCACATCCCTAGAGTGAATCCTACTTTGTGACCATGTATGATTCTCTCTGCATTCTCTTTGCCAGTATCTTATTAGGAATTTAAAAAAGAAATCTATGTTTATTAAAGAGACTGACCTGTACTTCTCTTTTTTGGTTGGGTCTTTTTCTGGTTTTGAAATCAGGATAAAGCTTTCTTACAGAAGGGAATTTAAAAGTACTACTTCCCTTTTAATTTCATTAAACAGTTTGAGAAATATTGACATTAGATCTTCTCTGTAGAATTGGGCACTGAAGGCACTGGGACCTCGAATTTTCATAGTTCATAGCTTTTAAAAAATATTTCTTTAGTTTTATTGTATGATATTAGATAACTAAAGATTTTTGTATCTTTTTGGTTCAGCTTTGGTTTTTATACGTATCTAGGAATCTATTCATTTTTTTCTGCATTTTCTTTTTATTAGAATACAGTTTCTCAATGATCTTCTGCATTTTTGGCAGAATCCATTTGTATTTTGCCTTTTGTATTTTTAATTGTATGAGTTGGAGTCTTTTCTTAGTTTGGTAAAGTTGGCTAATGGTTCGCCTATTTTGTTTATTTCTTTCAAAGTACCAACTATTCAGTTCATTAGTTCTTTGTGTTTTTTAAGTCTCAATTTTATTAATTTCTGCTCTGATCTTTATACTTTTTTTACTTGTAGCAGCTTTGGACCTTGTTGTTCTTGTTTTTCTAGGACTTGTAAGTACATCATTAGGTTATTTTTTTGGGCTCACTCTGTGTTTCTGATATGAGAATTCACGAGTATAAATTTCCCCCTAAGGATGCTTTTATTGTGTCCCATAGTTTCCATTATGTTGTACTAGCATTGTAATTTGATTGTAGAAATTATGTGATTTCTACCTTGATTTAATCTGTGACCCGTTGATTATTCAAGAGGGTATCATTTGATGTCTCTGTATTGCATAGTTTCTGTGTTCCTGTTGCCATTGATTTCTAGTTTCATTGCACTACACTTATGCATGGCATAAATTTCATTTCTTTTGTTTTTACTTCACATGCTTTATGGGCTAGTGTTTGGTCTATTTTCAAGAAAGTCCCATATGCTGTGAAGTAGAATGTGTACTGCGTTGTTGGTGGATGGAACGCTATAGATAGCAAGTCCGTGTTTGGTTCCTCTCTGATATTTCCTTGTTGATTTTTTTGCATGTGTCCAGTTTATCTGTCCATTTATGACAGTGGGGTATTAAAATCTACTGCTGTAACTCTATTGGTGCTTATCTGATTTTATGTCCATTAGTGTTTGTTTTATGTAGTTGAGTGTACCAGTATTTGGTGCATAAATGTTTATAATTGTTTTCTCTTCCTGTTAAATTGTTCCTTTAACCAATATATAGTGGCCTTGGCCTCTTCTGATCAGTTTCAGCTTGAAATACACTTTATCTGTAACGAGGATAGCTACTCCTGCTTTTTCCTTGTTGCATAGAATATTGTTTTCCATTCTTTGATTTTTAATTTGAGTTTCCTTTTTAATTAGATGTGTTTCTTGTATACTGCATGTCATTGGGTTTTGTTTTTTGATGTATTCTGCCAGTCTGTGTCTTTTGATGGAATAATTGAGAAAAATCACATGGAAAGT